AGAATGAAGGGTATTTTCACTAGGTTAGCATCGGTCGGTACATCATAACCTTTTGGTTGGGGTCCTACAGGCAGGTCAAATTGGCGGCTTGAAACGTTATCGGATATAGCCAAAAATCTCTGTCAAAGGCACACGTGCTTCAAATTACTTCTTTCTTCTCTTTCTGACAGTAATTTGACGAATTTTGTCTGACCGTGTTAAATTTAGTTGCTTCCTTTCTGAATGAAGTCCTGTACTCATTCTCTGCCTACTTTCTTTATACGTTGTTTTTTTATTATTATTGTAGGTTGCATCTTCCTGCATTATACTAGATTTTGTGTTTTCGATAAAACAAATAAATAAAGTGCATCTTCAAACCAATAAAATACTCACCAGAAGCTTCATATGATTAAATAACTGTTTCAGTACTCTGTAAAGACTGTTTTTAATAAAAGCATTTGAGGTATATGAAAACCTCAGCAGACGCCTTATAGCCAGCCCACTGAGCTGGCATCTAGTATATGGTTTCTCCAATAATAAATACGTCTTTTTACTGTTTCTTTAATTAGTGACAAATGTATTTTCAATGTAATATTTAGCTGGATGAATCTGCTGAGATCATTACCTCAGCCCAATTACAATGGCTTAATTTCATCAGTATTTTATATTCTGCATCTTTTCACTTTTATTACTTTACATATAAAACCACTTGACACACAATATATGAAGGACACATGAGTGATCTTCACTTCAAAGTTGTAAAGTTATTTAGGGGGCTTATATATGCAATGTAGATTGATAACAGAGGTCAAAGTTTGTTGGGAGGTGGTAGCAATGCAAATGAAGGCGGATGAGTGTTAACTATGGCTGAAAGATTAGGTTTGGTCTTACGTAATCAAGAAGATTGACAGCTAATTAGTTGAGTAATGAACAGTCGTTCGGAAATAGTTGATAAGAGACAAAAGATTGAAAATGAGTTGTAAAAACATTGTTCATTATGCAGTTATTCATGAAGAAAAAGAAGGAAAAAAAGGGAAGGAAGAAAATAAATACGTAGGCCATGGTAGTGAAAGAGGCTGAGTAAAAATTTTCTGAACACAAAGTTCAGGTTTCTCCTTGTGAATTGCTAAGGCTTCAGCTATATGAAGATGCGGGTGAAGTCTTTTCGAACGACTTGGTCGTACTTTACATATGACTCTGAAAAAATTTTCTGCCAATGCCGCATAACCAGAAGTAATAATGCGCTCCAGAATTTTATTTTATTTATTTATTTTTGATTACAGCTTGATTCCACACCGTATTTTTGGTACAAGTATGAAATTTTCAGCATGGATATCGGCAGCCCAAATTTTGCAGGCCGACCATTGATATCGGGTGTGCATCGGCAGGGGATCGAACGCTGGACCATGTGCATGGTCGGCGAGAGTTCTAACCACTGTGCCACCGACCTGTTGAATGTTCTACATCCTCATTTTGACACCCATGATGATAGATGTTTGTGGGCACATCTAGACAATGTCATGCTGGTACGACCTATGCAATTAGCTCCACAGGAACAGGTGAATTGGTAAATACACATTGAAGTTACTGACAGCAGGAACTTGTCTGTGACGTTTTAATGAATAAGAGTATGTCTGGTGAAGGTGAGGCGTAGAGATCCAGCAAAGAACGTTCTTCGAATTGCTGTCAACAAGAGGCTTCAGAGGACTTCACTTATTGTACCTCCCTTGAATTTCAGACTCACAGTTAGTTGTTTCTTCAGCAAATCTAGGTTTCAAGGAGTATCGGTCTTCCTCTTTAGGTGTTTATCTGTGAACAAGGTTGAATATCCATTTTTGATTAGAGTTTTCCTGAAGGATCTTAATTTTTTATTTAATGAGTCTTTATTGCATATACGGCAGGTTCTCGTTTCAAGACGGGAGATACGGTTTATTTTTCTGCTCATTGCGACAAAACTTTGTTAGTTTGTCAGCTGTGCATTCCAATTTGACTTGTGGTGGATTGAATCTTATAAGCTTTCACCTGATCATCTTATTAGCTAGACATCTAGGAAAGATAATTTGCCTTCTGATTCTGCTTCAGTTTTAATTTCAACTCACTCATGAGCGTTGCTCAAGATTTGTAGGATTTGTTTAGTTCAGTATTTTTATAGGTGATAATAAAGACATCATTCACATATTACCTGTAAACTCCGAATCATTTGATTGTTGATAGGAGGATATTTAACTCGAGGTACGCCATTAAGTAATTGGCGAGCAATGGATCGAGTGGAGAACTCATTGTTACTTTCTTTTGGTATATTTGACCATTAATAAAAACTGAACATTCAAAGCTTATCTTAGGATTAGTTCTTGGAAATGTTTGGTCGACATACAAATATTCAGATTATTTGAGTCGATAAACTCACAAAGGCAGCATTCACTTTCCGTTAGGAGGATATCGGTGAATTAAGTCGTAGTTAACCCAGCTGCATTCACTTGACTTAATGAACCCACGAATTGCAGCTCATCCTTCAAAAATTGTCTGTCCATTAGCTTTCCCTCAGATTCTGAATTTTCCGCTAACTATCGTGCTACAGGATGATAGGGGGATCTGAACATATCTAAGATCTAAGGCAGCGGTACCCTCTTTTTGGATTTTTAGTCAGCCATATAAGCGTGAAATTGTTGAACCAGAAAGTTGTATCATTTCATAGGTTTGTGAGCTAATTAATTTTCAGAAGGATCTTTGATAAGTGATTTTTATTTTGCGCAGTTTGGTCCTTTCCACCAATCTGCTTTGAGAATTTACTGTCGTCGCTCATAAATTTGGTCACATTTTGAATACAACCTGATCTGCCCAGTAAAACTACCCTATCGCCTTTATCTGAACGCATCATGACTGAATAATTGTTTTAATTCAATGATATGTTGTTTGGTCAGGAGTCGGTGGTGCTTCTCTTTTGAGTTTTTGAACTTTTGGCAACAGTCGGGTTCCCTCAAAGTGTCGTAGTTGTCCATTAGAAACAGGGGCTAAGTCTGTTGTTTGATATATGTGACCCTCAAATTTGACTCCACTGTGGAGATAAGTTTATTTGAATAGTATATAAATCTTCTTTGAACAAGGTTAATCGACAGCTTCCATAAAGTTATGCCTGTCATTAGATAAAGTTCAAAATGACTTTGACAAGGGTAATCGGAAATTCTTGTTCGGCGTTATACATATATATATATACCTGAACTGATTAAACTGTAGTTTTAATGCAGAACTTCCTAACAATGTACAACAGTTGACATCAACGCACCTAACAAAGCACATACATGGGTAAAGTAAAGAAATGGAAATGTGTAAGAGAAAAAATAACTGGAAAGTATGAATCAAGAGAAATCAATGCATCTGATATATCATGAACAAAGAATACATCTGTGCCACTGAGAACGATTTTTAGTGAAGTCAACAATAGTTTCTAACCACTGTTCCTTAGTGTCATTAAGACTCGAACCAGTTAGTCTATACACCTCTACCGGTGTAACGATAGAAGGCAAGGGTCAGGCAACAGATCGTTTATTAAGGAAAATCAACACATATTTATAGATTTTAATGTACATTATTTAGATTAATGTTAGTAGAAAATACAGTCTTTTGATTGGTTGTTTCTCACACAAAGTTAACCTTGCATCTCTTTGTGGCTGTGTCAGATCATCTATATGTTAACTGTATCCATCTACGCAAAGTCTGCTGTCCATCTTTGACCTTGTTTTCACATGACTAATATTTGAGACATAAACATTGTCCTCAATTACTGTCTACCAATTTGGCTAGCAACCATCTCTCACCACACCGGGACTGATGGTATAGTTCAGTCAGATCACACCGAATTATTTTCCAACATAATCTAATTTCAACTAACACCGCTCAATGAGGAGAGCAATGGATTTTCGTGAGCGGCACGTGTCTTAACCACTTCATTCGATGGTAATTTACAATCCTGTCTCACATTGCACTGTGAACCTGATTATTGCTGACCGTACTAGATCACCCGAAATGCGAGATACAAGCCATATATCTGTGGTTAAAGACAGGTAGTCTCTTCAACGTTTGCTTTCTCAGCAGCCATACTTGTTAGCCGTAAAGAAGAACAGAATGAGCTGTCGAGCTGTACACACGTTCTTTGATCGATAGCTGGATATCATGACTACGCCAGAAATGACACGATCTGGAAATTAATACACGAGGGTTTTACATTCGTTCTAAGATATCATCAGCAGTCAACCTGTTAGGGCTAATGCAAATTCCTGAATAACTGAATTCGGCAACATTCTCAACCACTTCATTTCCTACCTTTAAGCTCGGAGTTAATACAGGTCAATCCTGCAGCATCTTACATTTGCCATGGGCAAATCAAATGCTTAAAGTATTAAGATTCCTGCCCAATGGTATTTCGAAGACTGCGTTTTGTCAGCGTCTTCATTTGGAAGGGAAAAATCATCCACATACTCTAAATCAACCAAATCACTATTCTCTAATCACAATTTAATCCCTGAAACAGGATCATATCCATTAGCGTACTCATAATGACATGTGATTTACCATATGGACACCACTGGTTGTCATCATTTCAGGTGAAAACACTCTGTGAACTCTAACACAGCTTCATTAGTTTGAGTAAATGATTTCAATCATCGCTATGTGCTTTCTCAGAATTCCCTTCTCGGTAGTATGTCTAAAGGGCGAGACTGATGAAATAGGGTATAATGAGACAGACACCATCTTTATCAGGCTACATTTTAACGATTAAGCAATGGGAATTATGTCCAAGTGTTAGTTTGTATTTATTTCCACATATCTCAAGCAAATAATATATTACTGAAGTTACAATCATTTCATTATATACTGTTAGGAGCATATCAATATTTTTAAATGCATGGAAAATCGATCTGATGGAAGTAATAACAAATCGACTGATAAATACAAATAAGTATTTACAATTCGAATGAATTAACACAATTTTCTTAAGGATTTTTTGTATACACTACAGGAAAATGATGCATTACCATTTTTCTTCATGCGACAGAATACCTGTAAAAAAGGAAGAAAACAACGGTGTGGATCAAATGAAATCAGCACATAGTTCACTTTACAATAGATCAGCATCTGTGATTAGTTTTCGAAAGAATTCAACAATGTCAAATCCAGGCATAATCTGTCATAATTTCATTGAGAAATGTAATGATCACTCGAATGAGAATTTAAACAAATGTTATCCAGGAAAAATAAATACAAGTTTATTGTCCCTTCAAAGTGAGTGTGGAAAAGCTCTTGAAGTAGATAATAAAAATTTGCTGAACAATAAAGATTATTTTTGTTTATGTAAGCAATATAAAAATGAAATCCATCAGTCAGCAAGTGATTTAAGACGTATTTGTTGTATAGAAGAATATTTATGTGATAAAAAAGACGAAAGAAAGCTGGAGAATTTTAGTCTTCAACAAAAATTGACTTGTCTTTCCATTAGTCCAGGAAAAACAACATGTGAAGCTTATCGGGGAAAATGTAACACATGGCATGGTCCAAGAAGGTTTACTCATGGTGGTACTAAAAATGTCGATTCACATAAAGCTTTCACTTCAGCATCAAGATGTCAGTCAAAACAAGATCAATTATTGCCTGACAATAATCGGAGGTTTACACCGACTTATATATGTCATTTAGATGGCAGTACATATGATCGCACAACTAGCAGTGAGAATAAAAACATTGATCCATGCATTACACTAAGTAGTGCCAACAAACCTTGCAATTATGAAGAATTTTATCCACATAAACAACAAGGCATAACTTCACCACCTCCACCTTTAATGACGAAACGATCATTTATACAAACATATGTCCAGAGTCGAGACGGTTACAAACGTCTTTCTCCAATTACGAAAACCAAAGAAAAGCAATCACGATTATCACCACTAAAACCAAGTCACTACGAACAACAACAACAAAGAGCAAAGTCCCGACAAACTAGTGAACTAGATGGACAAAGTGGTATGAGCAAACAGTCGAAAATTTCACTTAGTTCGCCTGAACTGGACAAGCAAACTGTAGATCCTACATCAGGAACGAAGGATTCACAGGTGGAGAAACCAGATGAAAAAGTTGTTGATGAAGGAAGTGAATTTAAATCTAAAAAACTAGTTTCTGAGGAAAGTACAACTGAGTTACCATCTGATCACGATTTAACAGCTGGTTATATTGAAGGCAAGGATATAACAGGAAATCAAACAGCTACATTAAATGGAAACATTGAAACAACTGTTAAATTAAATGCTGTTATCAGTAATGACAGTTTAGAAGTGAACATTATGTCATCAAAAACGAAAGATTCCTCCCATGTACCAATAGAAATCAAACCAAACCAAAGTGCCACAACCACATCTGATGATAACAAAACAAGTATCTTGAAAGAAAATTACACTAATAAGTCAAATATACTAAGATCCTTGATGGGACAAAGTGAAGCTTCTATGCAAAATACGAATGTTACGAATAAATCTAATCTGCTAGTGAACGGTTCAGCATCGTCAGTTTATTCCACGGACTTAATACGAAATGAAAAACTAATTAATTTTGGTCAAACTGATATTAGAAAGGATGAAGTTACAGAACGACCAATCGATGCACATAGTGATAAAGCAGGCGATTTGCATCTTTCATTAAAACAAAATATACATATTCAATCAGCACTAAGTGGCATCAACAGTACACAGTGGATTAAGAGCTCTGAACAGTCAGAAAAGGACATTATTGGTGAAAATATTCCAGATCGTAATTTGTTGGGTTCTCTCAGTCCTTGTCCGGAAATTCCAATAGAAATCGAAACATCTTTAAGGTGTACCATCAGCCGTCGTGAGACTAGTTTAGAATGTAACAGTAAAACAAATGAGGGGAAGGGAGTTGAAAGTCCTCACTTAATGAGCACTCGAACGACGAGTTTTGAATTAAGCATTACGGACACAAGAAAATACAATGATAAGCAACAGACATTAGGAAACGAAGAAGTTAAAGAGTTAACCGTGAATCACTCGTATAAAACTGGAACTCTTTTAGATGGCATAGGAATATGTTTTGAGACAACAAAAGTTCAACATGAACCACATGCATCCACTGCCATTTTAAATTCTCATCAAGGAAGACCGGATCGCCTGGTAGTTGGGCAACCGAAATCGCAAATTTCCATCCAACAGCCGGAAGTAACCGATGATGAAAAGCAATCTCCAAATCACTCTACCAATCAAAATAACTTTTCTAGACACCATTCTCTTGGACTGAGTCATGTGACTTCAAAGCAATCAAAGCACTTTGCAAGTAATAATTCAAATGCCAGTCAAAATAATACTTACAGAACGAGCATTCTGGGAGCTTTGCGTAGGTTTTCTCCTAATAAAGTTAAGAATATCAGTCATTCTGATAAACTAGTTATCTTCCTGCAAAATGGAATAATTTTCAGTCTCCCGAATGATCATGATGATAAAGTTAAAAGCAGTTGTAAGATGACTAATAATAAATCACTTCAGAAGTTCACAATTCAAAATTATCCAGAGGTTTTCTCTGTAAATAACAAATCCAAAGAATCCATACCTTATTTAAACAGAAGTGTATTTAAAAGTGACCACACATGTAAGTGCTGTTCTACACATTATCAAATAACCTCATTATGTGATCCACACATAAATTACTTTGTACCTTCGACTAAAGAAAAACGCCTGTTAAGTAAAAAGCAAAGATTTTATATTCATGAAAAATTTTCAGCATCACTTGAATTGTGCGACTGTGGTCTGAAAAGTATTAAAAGTAACAGTAACATTAATAACAATGAAAATTTGGGAATGAAAACTCTCCCAGAATGGCCGGGTAATTGTCGTGTAAAAAATTATTTTCATAAACATACCCCTGAGTTATTACATCATTTTAATGCAAGAGAAGGTAGACAGTCACAAACTTGTAGCTGGAGATCGAGAAACGTTTCCCGAACTGGTATTGGATTAGTGGAACACAAAGATCATGTGCTCAACGATAAATGGCAAACCAAAAAATCTGATAGTTTAAAAGCGATACCAAAAGAGTCAAGTAGACCTCATGGCCTGCATTCACATAAAGATAATGATTTAAATCAGCAGAAACAAGTGTTGGATTTGAATAATTCTAGAAACCAAAAAGAAATAGAATATGAAGAATATTCCAGTTTGGTTGACATGGATATACTGTCCGCGTTGAAGAAACAGACATATCATAAGTCTACACTGCAGGAAGATGTGAACCATAATCAACTTACTAATAAATCAAATACATTAACTTCAACAGCACATGAAATATTATTACTTTTAAAAGATACAACTGAGATGATTATGACTGACCTACTAGCACTGGAACAGGAGATCCTAGAGAAGAATTTTGTTTCCTGTGAAGCAATATGTGAGCATTTAGTGTCAATACCGACAATTTTATCAGAACTAAAACAGCATTTAGATTACAGTCCCAATGAAAAACATCTTTACAAACTGACGGATAGTATAAATTCAATAATTCATGAAATTCTTAGCGATCCGATCACGGTTATCTTTCACTTGGTCGAATTAGCTTATCTTTTGAATGAATTAGCCAAACTGTTTGGAGAAGATCTATTGCCGCCCAAATTACCCAAGGTTGTCCACTCTATTCAAACAAGACTACATGTAAGTTGTTAATATTATTTAAAGAGACATGGGTTCGTATCCATTCTCACTGTCTAATTCAATTTCTGTATTAACCAGTGGTACATTGAAGATACAAAAGTAAAATGTTTCTGACCAGATAATACGGTATCATCACTGCCACTACCCATGAACAACTTCCTACATAAACTGGCTAGAAATATATGTATATGGATAAGTATTATCTCATATCTGATTTCGTTAGATAATGATCCAGATGACTATAGATCGTCAATATTTAGCACAGTTTAGCTTCTGATATTCGTCATACAACTCTTTACCACCAAACAAGCAGGAATCAAAAATAATTCTAGGCATTGTATAACTGTGGCATAGTAAATATATGCTACTGAATTCAGTTCCTCGTTTGATTTATGTGAATACCAACAGGTAGATTTTTGTTAAAAATAACCTAGCTTTTCTATCTGCAAGCCAGATGGTAATATTGTGTTCAGAATACTGAAGTAAGATTATAGGATGTGTGCATAGTTCTACATCTGTTTACCATTCAATTAGCATTGTACACAAGTCTGTCAGCTCAGTGTGTCTCGCTGTGATGAAACACAGGTAGAAGATAACAGAAATATAATGACACTGCATAAGATAAACATGAGATTGTAGGAGGGATACAATTAAAGAGAGACTTATGAAGACGCCGAAAAATTGCGAACAAAAAGCGAATACATACATGATAGTGTGTGAGTCACCAACTACTGACATGGTACCGTATTACCAAACAAACGCATTGTCAAATATATTTTCTGAGAAGCGAGTTAAACAACATGGAATAAAATGAGTAAAAGTGTGTTAAGGCCTAAGTATGGTAACAATATCAAAATGCATGAATTGCAGGATACTATCAAACATTAAAGATAACTGAGGGTTCTGTGTACACGATATAATTAGTGATTAAGAATAAATGGTCATGCAATGAAATGTTAACACAGTATACAGAACAAAATACTACGGGGCTTACTTAATTAAGGTCGACTATAAGGCACTAATATAATTCCACTAATGAACAACACTCCTTAAAATAAATGTATACAGCTGAAAGGATAGAAATATGTTAATGCAACCATAAATTAAAAAGTTAAACCAAGGTAAAAGAAATTTATCGGTAGGACATTAAAATGAGCCAGTTCTATAGTGGACTCATTAATTTTTCATACTTCTGAAGATAGATAAATTGTTTGTCATTAACTAAGAACTGATGAGAATAGCACTAAACATGAATCTTACTCATAAACGTCTTTCAATCCACAGCGGATCATTTTTAAGAAATAACTGAGGTCTAACTTCCGATCGCTTATGAATTCAGTGGCGATATAAATTTTATTTACGTGAAGAGCATCATTTTCGCTCAAAAGTAGGTACATCTCGGGAGTTTAAAATAAACGAAGCACAGCACTAGAGATTTCTGAAATACGGCATTAGAGGAAATAGATAACAATGGTAAGTTATGTAGTTTAGTCGGTTCATTTTAAAACTGATTGCTTAACTTTAGTCAGTCTTAAGTCGATATTAATGTCTTTCGCAACCTTTTTACTTTACTTGAAGTAAATATATGATGAGGTGATATGTCATGTAGATAATTTTATGGTCAAATTTCAGGAAAATCATGATAAAAATTCTAATCTGCCTAAAACTGAATTGTTTGTTTAGTCAGCATCAGCATTCATTACTTTTCTCGTGTGTAACATGTCATACTCCAGTCAAAAATTTATGACAACATGATTTTATGGGACTTAGTATTAGAAACAGCAGTGTAACATAAAATTATTCTGAAATATTTGTCGAAAAGTCATACAGAATGAATGGCTGCTGAGATGTCAAAGAAACTTAGTGTTCATTACAAATTTGTGCTGAATAACAGATGCATTCTGTAAGATATCACATATATTGATCAGAAGTTCAGAGCCTAAAAATGGTTTGGTGCTCTCTGATATTTCCAGTTTTTATCAAAACCTATTAGTATTCAATTTGATTTACCTATTTATTTCCTTTTGTACAGAGAATTAAAATTGGTTATGTTTTCAAACAATACTATCATGTACCAAAGGCATGCGATCACTTGTTCGACACATATATTAAATCACGTGATCTTATAAAACTTGAGAAAGACTGTGGCTGTCAGATCAATGTAGTTCCACCTAATCATTCATACGCTCTGTACTGTCCGCATGGTTATCGTACCATTGAAGTAATTTACGATGAAGAGAGAGGACGCCATGAATTACTGCCAAAACGTCTTAATAACATGGTAAATCCAAAATATACAACAGTGCGCCTTATATCAACTATAGTAAAACAAATTAATGGTCGTGAATATCCAATGACATTAGAAGATATTAATAAATTGTTAAATTATCAAATACGTCCGAAATACCAAGATGTGAAGGCTTTAATTACAAACGGTTCAACATTCTATGGTACGAGAAAATGAGAAGAGAACTGATTCGGTCTCCTTCCCTTTATCTTCTTCTTTGATGTTTTCTTTCTGTCTTTGATTTTTGTCTGAAATTTGTTTATGATTTATTTGCCTTCTGACTGCATCAGTAATAATCAGAAAGCAGAAACGTATTTATTTTTATTCATTCTTTTTTTTTATTAAGACTATAATTTACTTCTGCATCGTATTTCTGATATAACATTTTCCTGTTTACTTTTCTCATTTATGGTCACTGTTTACTCATGTATTTTGTTTGTAAAAATATCAGGAATAACTACACTTAATTATAACTTTTTATTTTATTTGTATCCAAACTTTCTGATTTAAGGGTGGGAACTAATATCAGATGACGTTGAATACTGAGAGTTCTGCTAGCAACCAACGTACTTTCAAATGAAACTGTAAAGTTCCTTGTAAAAACGAAATAATTCATGATATTTGGGTGACGCCGGTTAGAACTGGAAGGTAGGATGCACGTTCTAACCTACTTGGGGCTGTCATCTGGATGTACTTACTTCTCAGTGAGTCAGTGTGTCCCTGTTAAGAGATGAACTCGTAGAAAATGTGCTATTATCCGGGCAACTGAGCTACAAAAGCCACCTCTTATGCAACAGGTAATAAATGTGTAAGGATAAGGATAAATTGTTCACAAAAATGTTTACACTGGTCAGAGGATAAATAAAAGCTGGGAATATATAGACAGATTGATAGATACACTGATTCGGTGTATCACTCATCATGTTGGTTCTAGATTTACATCTCATTTTCTGATTTCTTTCGTAGTTAGAAAAGAATAACTGGAGCAGTTTCGTTATGCTTCTTAGTATGTAACTGAAAAATAAACAGATTAAAATACTTTTACTCCATTCACTTTAGAATTATTAGTTTAAAACTGTTTGAAGAAACACTGACAGGAATGGACAGTATGATAATCATGACTGCAAGAGTAGGTCAGGAGTTCTGCAAACAAGAATATGATTTACTGAATTATTTTATGAATATGTCTCACACTGTTCAAGTTGAAATAATGTCTTATGCCCTATCTAGTCTCTTCAAGAGGTACCAGCACTTCATCGACTGCAGTCTCAAATAGTTATATTCCCTAAAATTTTGCTTTGAAATTTATTTCTAAGGAATCTGAAAGTCTATAAGTTTTAGCATGTCGTCAGGTTGATAGAATATTTGATGGATCAATTGTGGTCTAAAAAGGTTTACTGCGACACAATAGTCTCATGTCCTCGTGAACAGATTCACCAAGAGAATTCCCACAAGATGTTTCGTTCTTTTATGAAAGTAAACCAACGTAGACATATCATCTTTTCCTGTCTGCTTTCTGGAAAGTTGAGAAATCTCGCTTCTTATTTAATTACATTCTAATTTATGAATTTATTGTGGAAGATTTCGATATACTGAAAAAAATGCCTTTGTTCTATTCACCTAAAAATGAGTAAACTGTTAACTGAATTCGTATGAAAAGATGTAAGAGTTAATTTTACTCACAGTGAATTTGAGATTGTCAAGATTTGAAGAGGCAAGTAGCAAAACTAGTTAAATCAGTGACTTCTGGCACTTATGCATAACTTTGTTGTTAACTCTTCGTCAGATCCTCTTTTGTAGACATCCGCGGACTGTGAAAACCAAGGAGGGGTGCACTGTAGAGGCTAACGAAGTTGCACATTAGTTTGTTTATTAGATGTATCACACAGTGGAGCAGTATTATTTACTGGATGACGTTTCGAACAAAATTTATTGTTCATAATCATATCAATTATAATGAAGTTCGACAATGAGGATTTTACGGCGTCAAAATCTGCTAACCAAAACACTTTAAATTTTGCTGTCTGTCACTTTTCATCTTGATGTACAGTGAAGTTATGACTAGGTAATGATAGCATTTGAGAATTATTCTTCATACAAATACATTCTTTTATCTAAGATTTATACCAGTTCTGAATCCTGAACGTCTATCCTGCATTTACCATGATTTTACAATTTGACTTTAAATTTGACCTGAACATGAAGTGGTGTTATACACGACGCATGTTGTAGAGTGTAGAGGTGAACTTTATGCTTCAAAGATGGCTTTTAATTAGCTCATCTCTTTTACCTGGTCAAAAATTAGAAATTTTTTTATTGGCTTCTGATTTGAAATTTCTGTGTATTTAACTTAATGAACTGACTTCACAGTGTTTGCACTGGATACTGATTTAACAGCATAGAATGCTTCATGAAATAACGAATGATTAGATGAAGACTAGAGAAGACTTTAGGAACATGCGAGGTAATTAAGAGTATACAATTCTGATTCTTAGAGTCACGAGGACCCCAACAGGGTGGACTAGGTCTTCCTTTATGGCTCAAACCAGTAGTCAAAAACTCCAAGCACTGGTATCATCGCTTGAGTGAGTTTGCTGATAGGCTTCCTAGTAGGAGACCATATGTTTCATTGATATAAGATATACCCTACCAAAATGCACAAGTTCTATTCTTATATCAGTGGTATCGCGGTTTGTTCAAATCAATTACAACTGTCTTCCATCCCAGTCATGCCTCAGCTAACATTGCTAGACGAGGAAAGCGATGGCTTGACATACACAAAACACATCCTAACCACTTGAATCAATGTGGCCTTACAGTTTGATCATTTGACTTTTGCTCCTCACCTAATGCTCTACAGCTCATCTCAAAATTACTCACCATATTTTCACTTGACGGGGACGTGAGAGATGGCTAGGCTTCTCCTGCCTTCTACTTTTAATCCTCGTCTAACAGCACAAATTTACTTCGATGAATGTACCAGTATCACACCTCACACAAAGATGATTCACGTTTGCTGATGCCAACTGAGTCCTTTGTGTCTGAAGTGAGATCCAATCAACAATCAGTCCATCAGCGTTCATGCAACTTTCCTAATAAATTATCAGCATGCCTAACAGTTTCACGTGCTGTCCTAGCAGTTGATACAGACCAGTCCTGCAGCATCAATTCACATTTGATTTGGGCGAATTACATGTCAAATATAGCTAGATTTATGCTCAAGGTATTCAGAAGACTCCACTTTACCATCCACATTCTCTAAATTGACGGGATTCTCTTTTGGTCAGGAGTGTATTCTGTCTTTCAGGACTCCTGTGTGAATCACCCATTTTGAATTAGGCAGCATCATTCAACTGGCATTCACTAACCTTCGGTTACATGATGACTATAGCCTTCAACAATGAAAGTGCGACCTTTACCACTGCCTTAAACAGCTTCGAAATAAAGAAATTTCCAAGTTCTGTATGCATGAAGTCGTTCAATTCTGAACTTCAACAACCTATGTACATATTTTCCTAGTTAAAATTATTTCAAATTATTTTTGTCACTTTCATTTAATTGCATACCCATGTGTATTTGCAACTCATTTAGAACTATTATCTCTTTTTTATTTGTCTAATTTCATCTATGTATACAAACGAAACCCTGCCCTCTGTTTTTCTAATATCATCTCACGTGACCTTTGCTTTATTAACATGAAGTTCACAATCTGACAGAATACGATTTGTTTAAGCTCCCCTCCCCCTTTAATCTAGCATACAACACACTCATTTACTTTGAACAAAAGCTTGAAATAATTCATTCTGACAGTACATTCTCACAACAAATATGCTATGGTAAAAACCAATGGTTGGAAACAATTGGTGACATGGCTCAAATCGTTCTCAATGGTGCAGATGCATCCACTCCTTGTGACTTATGATTTCCAATTAAACTGTTTTGTTATTTGTTATTACTATACCTTTGTCTCACACCTCTGTTTACTGTCTATATTATGCATTTCTCCTACTTTCTTCTCTTGATTTGTGTGCTACATGGAGTGTGGCGACTTGAACTGTCACACATATGTGCAAAGTTCTATGTCGAAAACCGACCGACCGACCGATCGTATGCGCATTTACTTTGAATCGGCCTCTGAGAGTGTTCGAGTTTAAACATTGGTCAACCACAAAACAAATTATTAATTATTCTACATAGTCATTTGTTGGTACGAAAAATCCTCATTTGATTGATTAACATAAAGTTATTACTTACTTTATCTGGATATACAACTGCTGACACTAAACAGAGAGTAACTGAAAAGAATATTGTCTGTTCAGCAGTCATACATGTTAAGTTATCCCTATAAATGCGGACTTAGTTGTCTCATCGAGAAGTTGGACACAGGCAATCTCCCTATGCTTTTTTGCAGTTCCTTTTAGGTGTAGACATAAAGATACACTGATTAATACATGATCTCAGTCCATACAAGTATTTCAGGAGTTGCGATCTCTCACTGCTTCTCTCTACAACCTATTCATATCCATCGCCCATCTGAATTTGGAGGTCGCCAGGTTAAGTAGTATCTCTCCTTATGACCAGGAACATATTTTCATCTTAGTAGAACTGTAAAAGGACATCATAGCTGTCAGTATATTGATATGAAATGACAAAAAAATCCCAATATAATTCTCGAACTGGCTTCATTCCCCCTACCTGTACTCAAAATCCCTTTGTTAAGATAGGTATATCTGAGCGTTCTAAGCTTAGTACCAAACTAGACAGCGTCTGATAAAACTTTCCGGCTAATTTGTCCATATTTCAGCTATTTGGTGCACAATAAGAGATTTTGAAAAGCATCAACAAATGTTACTGTATTCCCCTATTCTGACTTATCATTTCAACCAGACAGCCCGCATGCTTCTGTTCAGTGAGTAGTGAGTGACCAGTGAGCCCAAGCGACAATTTTTTGAGGCGAGTTACATATGTCCCATACAGAGGTGGAGTTGCTTCCGTGCAGAAGACTCACGTTCTTAGAGTGGAAAGGAAACAGAGTTAACCTGCCGGTTATTTGAGTATAACATCCTACCTATACATCAGAAGTAGGATTTCACCATCAAACCCCCAACAGCATCATCGAGTAAGAAGCTTTCACTCTGATAGTAACTGATTCTAATCTAGCTGTTAACCGATCTACCTTTTATGTTTTGCAGGCTCCTCAGAAATACCCGTTCTTTTCAGTGAAACCTGTCCTGTTACTACGATGTGCAAGCTCAGCCATCATGTTGGCGTAAAAGCTGTCGGTCAGGTGTAGGTTCTTCATACATTCACTAATTCCAATATTAATGTGTATGTCAATGTGCAGTTAAACTAATGCAAGTACTAGCATAAAGTGTATGGGAATTACAAAAATCAGCATAAAGACGCTTTAGTGTTGTAATACCAACGTTCTGACTGTTTTCAAAATGGTTTTCTTCAAATATCTATCAGTGCATAACTTATGGTATTTCAACAAAGCTTAATTACTGTTATTTCAAAGACAGCATAAAGAGTTCTAGGCAATCTGACGGCAGTTAAAAGAGTCCTATAAATACCAGCTTGTTATTAACTTAAATGAGTATTTGAGTCTAAATTTACATGTGATGCATTTCGTTTAGTAATATGATAGAATATAGGTTCAAAAAAATGTTGATCAATAAATATTCATACAGCACTTCTACGATAATTTATTAACAGGATTATACAAAAAAACTGTCAGCAACTAAATGTTTGAAGAAACTCTTTTACGTTTACAAAGCAAAAGTTTACTATCTAATAGTCAATTTACTGAAAATATGAAATTGTTAGAACTAATTAGAAGTCCTGAACTGGAATGCGATCCATTCTCACCAAATATGTATCAAAATATAAGGCAGGCTCTTATAAACGCAATACATTTTTCCTACTCATTAGACGAATTTACCACTTGTGAATTAAATACCAGTGAATATCAAAGGAGAATGAAAGGATGTCGATGATGAAGGCAATTTTTCAGCTGAAGAAGAACGTAGCCGAAACAATTAACTCATAATATACAAATGGCTGCTCAGAACTCTAGTAAATATAAAACAAACTTCCAGTCTATTCTATGCGAAAACATGAAGTTAGACTATTCGTTTTTCTAGTAGTTGAATTCATTTATTCAAAGTATACCTTACAGCTGAGTTCTAGCACTAGCAACTAACTATACATTAATTTATTTCAACTTCCACTGCTTCTACACTTCAGTGAATTATGAAGTGGTGTGGAGAAATTAATTCATTCTTCATTTTACCTTTATTTCAAAATGAGCGTTATTTTTGTGAGTGGAACTAATATTTTCATAACATATTTATTGCTTGGTTTGAGAATAAATGTTGGGATTGAAATAAATAAATGAGTAATTTAGAAACGATACAAACAGTAAATTGGTCTACCGTTTGGGTCTTCGTACAGCATATCAAGGAAAACTAACTTTAAGACTAAAATATACATTTCTAATTGACCACAGTTACCCATTTTCAGGTGACAGAGTTTGTTGACTTTGTGTCTACTTGAAAATGATGAGAATTCAGGTAAGTATTGACGAAACCTTAATGAAATGTAGCCCTCAGTTGTGCGCGTGCGATAAATTTTAGAAGATGAAAGCATAGTTGTAGATACCATTAAAACCTGCGTTGAAGATGTTGTCTAGAAGGATACCGAAAGCTTCTCAATTAAATCATTCAGCCCAGAGAACACAACTGAATCAAAATCATCCACCTGAGCTACAAATCTTCTCCATTATTTCAGTGTAAGCTTTTATCGACAAATGTTCAAATTAGAAATAGGTGACCAGATACAGGTCAACAAGAATTTTTTCTAGTTGACTTAACATAATCTTGATTGTCATGTGCTGATGACATACTAAGGGGTATTAAACATTATTCAGTGAGATATGTATAAGATGTACTGTTACTGTACTTTTAAAGGAATGTTGATTTCTACTCAATTGATCCAGCATTAGATAAACTCTGTTACATGAAGTATGATGGTTCTAATACTTTATGATCCGTAACAACACCAAAAGTTTGACCAGTATACGGTTGATGTTGTAGACATTCATATTTCTGTGTTTTGGAAAAAGACATTTAATTGTCTGTAAGTTTAGCTAATCGTTTTCACTGTGAAAGTACATTTCCAGGGATAGTTTTCCTTATTTTCGCTAGACAAATGTATCTCATATTCCTTAACCAACCTGATAAAAGGTTGTGTACTGCCAGCTGGTGTGCTTTTTTATAGTCAAAATCAGGTGATTTCTTTATCTTGTAATTGCGCCATGCCGCAGACGTTTTGTAGTTTGATTCTACTCAAGTCTGAAATAACTGTAAACATTCCATTTTTGGGCCGCTAGTACCTGCCTTTTTACTTACCTTTAAAGGATGATAAACTGGTAGTCTAAACTTTTGATAAATTGTAAAATATTTCAAGTCAAGTCAATGTAATTTTTCATAGTTGAGCATAAACTTATTGTATATTCCAACTGAATCCAGAGAAGAAGAAGAAATCCCTTGTCCTTTTGAGTCCACTTTAACCGAAATTAGTTTTTTGATTATAAAAGATAATTCTATTGCACTTTAACTGTTCTCTTCTGATGAGGACAGCGACCCTGTAATGCTAGATGATGACATGAAAATGTCAGAAATAGCAATCATCGGTGCTTAGATTAAGTGGTCTAAGATTGCTTGTGAAATAGCTTATACCCATACACTCTCATGGATGTATTTATCATTTCTTAGTATTTCGCTGTGTTTCTTTTCATTTTAGTATCATTTTTTTCGATTCTTCTTTTGTATGTTAGCTTTTTAAATTCTACCTTGATCTGTCTATAACCCATTTCTTTCGACGTGTTCTCTCCATAAAGACATTCAAATTTTACAGAATACTATAAGTTTTTGACTATTCGCCTCCCTCTTTTCAACTTTATACAGACTACAGACCAAATCTTAATGAATAATTAAGTTTACTGTTCAGAATAATGAACGGTGCGACTGTAAAGGCTAAAGCACAAAACCGAGATAGCCATAGGTGGGATAAAAGAAGTGAAAAATACTGGGCCTTTATGATAAAGTTAAAAGCGTCATTACGTGTTGTGAATAGGTTATATTCAAGTCACTTCACTTCATACCGTTATCAGGAAATAGGAATTCATAATGCAATCATTTATCACACAGAATATGGTTTCACTGATCATTTCCTTCACAAGCACATTGTGTTACAAATTAAGATTATAGTATATAAAACCTTCTTCCAGAAAGGAAAGTGCAATGTACCTCAATGTGTAAATGCATGAAAAGCTGATAAAATAGAATGAAACATGTCAAGCTTCTCTTCCTTTCTTTACTTAAAACAGATAACTATATTTTTCTGTCGTTACAATTAGTACCTTTAATCTTCATCAGAGTTGTGATAAAGACTTGGAGCACTGATCATGTGTCTCTGTAGGGCATTTTCACTTAGGCAAGACCATTTGAAGTATTAACAGACTGCTGAAGGTCATAATAACAAGTTACTTGATAATATTTACACTATCTGATAATGATGCATCACTGGCTAATCAGAGCATTTTTAATTTATGCCCACGTTTTTTAAATATAAGCTGAAGTAGGGCATCTCACCTTGAATTAATCCATTTGCGATCGTATCCATATTTGTTTGAGTGTTGACACCTTATATGCAGCATTCATTTAAGTAATCAACATTCTATGTCTTCTGAATGACTGTATCAGTCTAAGTCTTAGATCTTTAGATAGAAAGAACTTTAGAAAATTTGAAGTACCACCTTAAGTTTCGTAGTCGTCAACAATAAACAGTCTTTGTGTTAGCCTTCAGCACTAATTAGTTTATACGCAATGTTTTCACACTTAATTAGAACAATAAACCTCAGTCAAAGAAACTACCCTTTATGTTGATATGGGAGACCGCCTGTGCCTTACAATCGGAAGTTGTTCAGATTTAAAAGAAAAGCAAAAATATTTATGATTTATTTAATTTAAAGAGACTTAGAAAAGTTATTTAAAGAAAAATTCTACAGAATTAAGAAGAAAAATTACTGGATAAAACACTGTCATTGAAGTTAATTTTTAAAACTTTCGGGAATTGAAGACTCGCTTATCTCCTCTTCAGACGATATTGCAAATGAACCACTATGCTGATTCCGTTGCAGTTTTGTTTCCGTCTAAATTTGAGCTACAAAAACGAAAGGAAATAACGCAAAGTCATTGTACCAAAGTATCTCAAGTTTTCATTGATATAATGTTAAACTTATATAATAGTAGAATTTGGACACAGTTGTGGAACATAATTCCATATTTTTTGGTATAACACATGTCCTATCAATATAATATGCTGTGAGCAATACGCTGTTCTCAGAAAGTCATCCACCTATTAATGTTGCATCACAGTGTGTTAAATCTTATACGGAATAATGTTAGAATGAGGTTGAATAATGATGGACAGATTGATAGAGCTATCCAGTTATCTCATTTTTCAGCAAATTCATTGTTTCTATATTCAGTCTTGTGGAGATTTCATTGATTCCAGTGTAGACATAGTCAAAGGAAAATGTTGGTGGTTACTTCTCAGTGGAGGCTATCTAACAACCTTAAGAAAAGGTATAACGTGTCAACTGTTGTTTCGTAGGGATATAGGATGGAGGCAGAGTTATATTGTCAATTAGCATAAGCTGTAATTCATAAGTTACTAACACTAACTGATAAACTGACGGGTGTAGACTTGATAAATCTCAGCTCAGAAGTTCTAATTCTTACAGAGTGTCAAACCAGGGTAACACGTCCTTCCGGCGGTCTTTGTTCTTCCACAGTTCTTATAGCCGATACTACCTGGTTAGGAAGTCCACTTCAACTTTAAAGTTTGCTACTACACATTAATGAAGCATTCAACATTTTGATCAATACAAAAATGAGAACCAGTATACGTAAAAAAGGTGGAATCGAAACCATTTTATTTCGGAATAAGATTTGAATGCCTAAATGTTTGAGCAGCTTACTGTGCAACATGCATATCTCTGAATTCTAGTGTTACCAAATAAAATAATGACATCAGTGTTTAGAGGTTTAAATTATTTCACTTTCTAAATGCCTAAAACACACAATACGGATATTCTTTATAACCGGGTCTGATGGGGATTTATTTGCAATATCCCAAAAGTGAAATTTAGTATTATCTTTATAGAAACAATAACAAAAACAGTGAAGTATCTAGGTTATGAAGAAAACTTAGTAATTTGCGATCAAATTACCAGTAGTAACATAACTATGAGATACGACCACATATGAGATCGTGTTATCGGTTATTTTGACATTTCACCTGTGAGTCAGATAGCTTACAATAAGAAATGAAGATTAATATTAGAAATGGAGACCTTATTATTATCTGAGCTGGGATAACTTTTGATTTGAACATGGATGACTTCGGAAAATATTGTCTGGAATTCACTTGTAGAGTATAAGTGTAAATTTCATAGCGTCAGATAGTCGCCAATCTAAAGAGATTTTATTATTACAATTAGTTTTGATAAGTGATAACTAATAGGTCATCACTTTATTCAGCACTGTTATTGGGTCCTATCACTGATCAAAAATGCAGATATAAATTAACCAGGACCATATTCTCATATGAATTTAATTTTTTGAATTTCAGTTAGTTTCTTCAGTTTCACAACTCAGTTGTCCTCGAAGAAAAATTATTCATGACCATGACCAAAGAAACACCTGACCAATGAATGACGAAATTATCAGAGCCACCATTGGCAAAAATTAAAAGGAAACAAATCCTTTAGGAAGAACTTAACTGCAATACTGGAAAAGCTTCTAAAACAGATTTCTTCTCTACCCTAAAATCATCCCTCTATCCAACAAAACAATGTGAAGATACCTTACAAGGATTGCATCAGTCTCCCTTATTTATGCCCAAGCATAAAAACGCGAGAACCAACTCATTGCTCGAGAACAAAACATTGAAATGACTTAGAAGTAGAAAGAAAATAGTTATGCCACGAAATGAGGCGGAAATAACATTAGAACTTAAAGTAGGAAACTGATGTGCACCAACAAAATATCCCATCCATACACCAGATAACTGAATCGAAAACGCCTGAAGCGAACCTAATGAAATCATAACGGATCACAAGAAAAGGTTAGTGGCAAGTAAAATCTAATGGAACCATTTTACCTCGGTCTTATGGTAAGGCTGAATTACACAAGGCAAATATCATCAAACGACCAACCGTCGTACTCCGGAGAACCCCATTGTACAATCCCACTCTTTGGGAAACTAAAATCTGTTACAGAAATTTGAGACCATTCTGTGAAAAGGATAATTTACTTTCTAATAAAATACAGTAACATTCAACTAGAAGACTGAAAATATGTTATCCTTCGGTTTAATGGTTTTGTACCCTTCAGCAGGAGTAAGAATTTAAGTAACAGCTTTCCGACAGGTACGAACACCTTTCTAAACACAGCGCACAAGCTGAATGAAACTCACAGACTAGTGACTTATATTTTCACTTCAGAGGGTTCATGTATATAAAGAATAATGGTGGAAGCCGTTATGCGAATACTAGATACCACATCACTCTCAGTAATAAAAATAAGAATTTGGATAGTTTACGTAAATGGCACATTCCTCGTCATTAAAAGGAATGATTTGGCAATCACTAACAAAGTACTCAGCAGTGTTTCTGACAGTAACAAAACATTTACAAGAAGAATTGAAAAACAAACTACTTTTTCATATGTGCTGATCAAGAGAACACCTAAATTATGTCTTGAAACACAAATTTGCAGTAAGTCAACGAACGTAGACCGAATACTCATTCCAACAGCACACAAAATGAACTGCATACAAACATTATCCAAAGAAGCCACGATGCACCTCAGCACTGCCATCTTAAGACGAAAAGAATGGAAGTATCATCTAGGCGCCTTCCAGAAAAATGGATACTTAAGCGAACTTATCAATGAACACCTACACTCAAATCAAACGAAGACCACAAAATGATCCAATGAATTTACTAGGACGATCATCCTACTAGTATGAAGAATATCTTAGAAATCAGTGATATCACATTGCAGCCTTTTAGAACGGAAATTTTTCACAAATCAACACTGTCGCTTCGTTGAATGACATGTAAACCAAAAACCTCAACAGCAAACGAAGACAAACTAATATCGTTTATAAAATCAACTGAATCATTTTTGAGATATACATATTTGTTAATGTGGAATTCACCTCTGTCTTGACGTCCAAGATTGTTCACTAGTGACCTAAGGACACGTCATGTATCGCTCCATATCAATGCACGTGGACAACTACAGTGACCATTAAGACTGGGAAAATATACAAACTTAAGAAAGATGAGATATAAAAACTGCCGAATAATTCCTAGAAGACTGAAACACGAAGCAATGTGAACTCACTATATTGACAAAGACTAGACTTATCAATCAATTGAAAACAAGTCCCATGTCAAGGTCAACGAAACTATCATTATCAATACAAGTGAGAGGAAGGATAGAGAAATCTCTGAAGACAACAGATGTCCATCAGGACTATAGAGAAAGATGATTATTTGATTCACAGAGAATTGAAAAATCTGAATTCTTTTTGAAGTTAGCACTGAAGTATTTGTCAAGAAAGAAAATGAAAGCTTCACAATTAAGCCATTCAGCTCAGGGAAGACAATAGCAAAAAAGAATTTACTGCTCTGCTAGTCAAAATAATGAAAAAAAATTTTATTTTAGTTACCTCCAAGTATGAGATTTGAATGTTTTCATCTGAGGTGTCTTCGAACCAGAACTCTTGTATGTAGATCTTTATTAAAATTAAAATAAAATATTAGGTCAGTCTGCATTCAGTGGTTATTTGCCTACAGTTGAAGTGTACATCAACAATTTCAGATTTTTATTTATTGCAATATTATGGTTAGCTTAAAGAAGCAGCGATTTCACATAAATTATTCAGCTGGTCCCTTTTCATTAAGTACCCAACATTACAAACTGATGTTCGTTCTACAAAATAAGATTAAAATACCTGTCCCGAATAAATAGTAACTTTGGTGTCGCATCTATCTCTCCGTCTGTCTGGATTCAACATAGAACTTGGCACCGAAGTGCAGCAGTTCGAGTTGCCACGTTCCAAATAGCACGCAAAGATAGACAAGGAGATGAGTAAAGAGAATCAATAGAGTTTTGACAAGTATAAGAGTGAAACAAAATGAGTAATGGTAGAAAGGAATATGAAAGATTACAGAGACTGAATACATCTGCGTAAGCCATTGACAACGATTTTGAGCCATGTCACCTATTGTCTCCAGCCATTGATTCTTAGTCTTGAGGGCCCCAACCCGGAAGTCTTCATCTCCCTACCTGACTCAGTTTAACTGTCAAGGATTTCATGGATTGATGCCATGTTTTTGTTTGGCCACCACTCACTCTTTTCCAACTTGCACCTATATCAGCTAGTAACGCCCGTCGGGGGAGGCGATGGTTAGGGATGCGCAGCACGTGACCTAGCCGTCTCAATCTATGTAACTTTATAGCCTCGTCGATTGATTTTCCCCGGTGTCTCATCACTAGGTTCCAATTCCTAGGTTAGCATTTTTAACTACAATCAATTAATGTTTTTTCCTGTATGAGAGCATGTGACCATAAGAAAGGTCCATCCATTTTGTATAAGCTACAAGATTTCTACACTTTGATACTCCTGATTTAAAATTCGTTATAATTCGACTTCATTAAATATAATTTCATGCGTTCACATTTAACAAAATTCTCAGCTTTTGATAGATACATAAGTAGCAGTCGGAAGTTGTTAACTTGATGTTGCTGTCAACTCTGCGTATTCAAGGAACGAAATCCGTTTATTCAGTTAAAGTTATCCCTCAGTGCGTTGAATTTGAGAAAGTCATCCCAATGATATTAGACTTTGACGTGGCTGGCTTTCCTTCACTTGCCACTATGAGGACAAAGCTCAGATGATGAACAGAAAGCTCATTGATCGTCTGGATCCTAGAAATCATTTCTGCCTGTACTATGCAGATAAATGGACAACTAAGAACGTGTCAAAATCAAAGTATTCGTCGATGATCATTTGTATTCTCCGATTTTGCGCTTATTAAATCCTACTCAAATCAATAAATAGTGGATTTTATTAACAGTTGCTTAGTTTGCTGAAGAAAATAAACCTCTCATAGGTAGTAATATTAACAACTGAATGTAATGCTTAAGTATCAAAGATGAGCTAGTTGAAAATAGTATATTCAGTGAATCTTCAGAGCCCCATATCAACCCCTCTTTTTTAAAACTTAGATATCTTGTTACTAACATCTTTTAGTTATTTGTTTTGATTACCTTTAACCTCTTGCTTTCACCCCGGCCTATACGTAAAACTGATTAACTAAAATAACGACTTGATTGGTAAAACATTTTGTTGTAAAAAGCTATATATATATATTAGTGTAGAGCCTATGACGAGGAACTAATTGAAAAGGAATATATTTCTTCGCTCAATCTGTTGTTTTTTCAAAATGAAAACACTAAATGTCTTTGATTGTTTTAGTCGGGCAAACACCTGTTCCTAACTAGCACTAACCTCAAAATTTAAGGAGAGAAAGTTTCGTAGTTAATAGATGCTGAAGTCAGTCTAATGATGCCACTAGACAGACAACTTAGCATTAAGCTATACATTTAGAGGATCAGTGAGGGAATTTCATTCCTTTTAGAATGACTACATGGACATCAATTATGTTGTGATTACTTACTTTATGCATCTGTGGCTGACATGGACGTAAAATACGCCTGTAAAATCAGTACTTGCCCAGGTTGTACACAAGAAAGATAATTCCATATCCACCCAAAAAGCTAATAAATCATTTATTTGAACATAACGAAGTATTTTTCCTGCAGAAGCTTTAAGACATATCTAGTTTGTTAAACAGAAATAGATGATGACGATTTATGACGAGTAGCCACAGGTCAGAAATGACGCTAGGTCTATGTGGTCTTATCACCAAAACTTTGTGACGTATGAAAACTGATTCTTGAGGGCTTTGAACATGGTAGGTAGCTTGAAAAGTTCGAATAAGCTTAAAGCCTCGCTGACTGATAACATTGGTGAAGGGCGTAAGTTAAAAACGTGGAAAAGAGGTAAGTAGAAACACCCCTGAAAATAACGGAAAGCTTGGTGACTTCCCAAGACACATGAATGGAACTTTGAGGAGTAGTTCACTACACTGCATCATAGTTATCAACCATCCCAGTTCACTCTGAACAGAAAGCAGTTATCAACTTCCAAAATCCTATCGAAGATAAGATGGCTGTTTTAAGTAGGAAACAATGCAAAATTTGAGGAGCTAATAGTTTAGCATCGAGATGTGTTTAATAGTAATGGCAAAGAATCGTTGGGTGGCTAACCAAGGTTTTAGCTAGTGTACAAGGATTCCGATATAAATCTATCAAACCGGTATGGATAATTTATAGTCTTAGTCCAAATGATAACCGTAACAGTACATAGGACCCTAGGGTCTTAATTCATTCAAAGATTAGATAGAATTGGGGAACAACCTACTCAGGCAGTCTTGTGGTCTACACATGGGGAAGATAACTAAATCCTCACGCCTTCACAAGCTGTAACACACAAATCTACCAGAGTACCTTGTTTACTGCCCTCAAGGCAACATTTGACTTTATTGATCGAGAAGCGTCATAATGTCTAACATTGAAGGGAGTGCCTAGAAGGCACACTATAACAATCAGGTCACTCTACTCAAACTAACTCAAATGTGTCAAACCTTACATAAATCTGCCATATGAACTGATAACAGCCAATGCTGTTACTTACTGTCATAACTCACATATAAATTAACCATAGACGACCTTTAGGAACTGTCTTAATTTTTTTATTCCTTTACGTTCCCAGTGGAACACAGGGCTTCAAGCTAGAGATTTAAAGTTTCGTTAGCAGCGGCGATTATTTTTACGGGATGAAGTTGCTAGCCTCACAACCAACCTTCCCTCTTTACCATATGTATTACTGGCTTAGCGAGGTAAAGGAGTGCGTCGGCTAGGGATCGAACCCGGAACCACATGCGTAGTTGGCGAACAATCTGCCACTGTGCCACCGCCGCATAAAATGACTTGACTGGGATCTCATATCCTAAAAATTGACTTCCTACGAGTGCGTAAGCACTAGCCAGTTTAAAAAACGCAGGATATAGTCCAGCTGGATGAAGACAATGACGAAATACAGAGTCTCCTCAAAGTAAGATGTTTCGAAGTTGTTTGTTTGTTATGCAGAATTTACTTGCACTAAGCTTCATTCTGAATACAGATAGTGAAGTAATAAATTAGGTCAACCGTTTCGCTCTTCTGAGGAATCACACTAGCCCCTCAGCATGAATACAGAAATTCTGTTTCTTAGTTCTCAGATTGCCTCATCTGTGACTCCGACATAATATCATTCTATCAATCGAGCTGACGTTCTGCACAACAGTCTACCCTTTCTTGCTTCTCCAAGGTGATACATGACTGGTGACTAAAGCAGATGAGGGAAGATTACACTTTTGTGAAAGTCAATGAGTTTCATAAGACAAACCCAAAGAATTTGAAGTTGAATTTCTGAAGAAGGAAAGTAAGTTGAGAGATAGTGTAAGGTGACTTTATTCAACAAAGTGATTGGGGCAGATATTGATGAAGTTACTCTTTCGACATTTCTTAATCTCAACCAACTCTTGTCAGATTATAATTTCTTCCACAACGATTTAGGCCATCGTAGTAATATCATTCTGTGTTTGCTATCTTTCTTTTCTGAGTGCTGAAACTTGAACTGATGCATTTATGTGCTGGGTTCTATGCAAGTCCATCTTTTTTCTTCTAGTATCATAAGAATTCGCTTGTTTATGGGTTAACATTTAAACACGTACATTAGTGGTGAGTTAGATTTTCATAGCTTTATGATAATATCTTATAAACATTTGACTAAATTTACACTGCAGTTCCACTTATCTAAATATAATTAATGTTTATTACTTAAATTAAGGACTTATTTCTGTGATACAAAAACCTGATATATTTTTCAATATCTAGTACTTATTGCTTAATATACCATTCAACATACAGCTCATTATATTAGCATGCCAAATGTGAACAAAATCACTTATCTCTGTGTGATTAATTTTGTGTTACATTTATTTTAGAAAGTTCAGTGTATAATAATAACAACATTTAAAGAGGTTGTTACTTATGTATCTAGGTGCTAATTATGTGTGTGAAAGAGTTATTACTAACCACTTGAGAATTTCATTTTTATTTAAATAATCAGATAAAATAAAGTTTCTAAAATATATCATCGTTATAACTAATTTCTTCAATTAAGAGTAGAATATGGAGCGTCACATCGCCATGACACTCGTTCCTGCGCCATCAGTGTATGACCATTGTGAGAATACACAAAAGCTATTATCTCCTTCTCATGTGATGTTATCCATTTCACGCTGAGATGTCAATTCAGGTTCCATGCAAGGGCTTAGCGTGTGATAGCCTTCAGCAGTCTCTACAGCGTATATCGAATTTATTGCTATCTCATTCAACAGGCTGTTGGCTGGTCGGCTGCTTGACAGAGTTCCTTGTTGCTTTTCCTTTCAGGGTGGCCATATAACATTTGGGTGTTAATATAAGTCAGCAGTAGTCTATTGGAATCGCTGACACACGCACCAACTCTCCAAAGCATATGGAAGCACTCACTTACTTTTTTTGATTAAAGCTTGATTCCACACCGTATTTTTGGTACAGGTATGGAATTTTCATCATGTGATGTCGGTAGCCCAAATTTTGCAGACCAACCATTGATATCAGGTGTGCGTCGGCAGGCGATCGAACCTCGGACCATGTGCATGGTCGGCGAGAGTCCTAACCGCTGTGCCACCGACACACATTGAAAATTCAGAGATTGTTCCTTGTGATAAATGAGTGCTATAGGCCTCTATACCGACTTCAGGTGAGTTAAAACTTGTCCTGCTTTCCCATCATATCTAACTAGCTCTGATATCCTCATCCGTGCCACATGTACTTGAAACGATGGATGCTGCCCAGGTCAGATAAATGAAAGAGACAATATCCTTTAGATCTTTCATATTGAAAATGATTGCTGCTTGTTGTTGTTTGTTCGGTATCTTCAACATTTTCGTCTCTTCCAAGTTCCTTTGGTATCCTGTCTTCGTTGTCTCTTCTGATAACTTGCAGTTTGTCGTTTGTAAATCATTGGGGTATTGCGACAGGAGACATAGATGATTAGCGAAATTCAGATGTTCTAGGGTATTTCATCGGTCCAAATTATACCTGTTTCTCCACTCCTCACAGTGTACCTTGTTGTCCAGTCCACCACAGCCAGAATTATCACGGGCGACAGTAGGCAGTCTTGTCTTACGTGTACTGTGAATCCCTTGACATCAGACTTCATCATATTGGTATTCAATGGAGATGAGATGTTTGCGCCACCCCGTACTGCCAAAGTAGTTCTCGAACTGATTTGCGGCTGAAGCTGTCAAAGTCGATGAATGTGAAGTGGAGAGCTGACTTACTATGAATAATGTAAGAATTCAGTCAGCTCATGATTTATTTTTTCCTGGTTTCAGACTTCTTTGAGCAAAGACTTACATCCAAAGGATAATTTTAGTCTTTCCAGATATGGTCGATTCCTCTCCGCGCCCAAACTTTATGGAATTCAAAACTTCCACTGGTAGCTTTGTGTCTGCTGATGGTAGTCACGGTATTTCTGGACATGTCATAGGTGGTGATTGATTCAGAAGTCTTTTGCAGGGATCAGCCCAGTGTTTTCTCTCTTCCATCTCTGTGGTTAATTGTTTCTTCCATTACCTTATACTGGCTACATTTACACTGATCTCTACCAGAATGGCGACCTGTTTACTTGATAGTGTTCCGATGTCCTTTTTCCTAAATGACACCTGTTCTGCTTCAGATAATAGTGTGTTGTGAATATTTCATTTGTCTTTTCAAAAACTATTCTTCAGTCCTTTGTTATGTATGCTACATAGTGTACTCATTTTCTACTTTTGTTGTTCATTTCCACACAGGTTTATCTTCCACTTCACCATTCTTCTCTCGTCTATATGCTTTGAGGAGTCTGCAGTCAAGCATTCCTTCTGCTGCTTCTTCTTGTTATTTGAAATGTTTTTCAGTACAGGTTTTCTCCCACGTCACTTTTAGGTAGTCCTAGGGTTCTTCCATGCACATTTCATCAGCCGTGTTGCTTAATGGCTCATACCTTTTATTGATGCCCACCGTCTTTTGAATTCCAATGTTGAAAAGTGATCTTGATCTGTCTCCAACTTCTTTGAAGGCTTTGAAATTCACCTGGACGGTTTCTAGCATTAGACGGTTATCTGAGCCCATACTTTCTCCTATTCTCGATTTTGCGTCGAGTAGGTTGCATCTCTACTTTCTTCAAATTGAGATAAACCCTAACTGAATTTTGGAATGCCCAACTGGTAATACCCACTCCACTTGTATGCTTTGCGAAAATCACAAAATCACTTAACGCACAAAAGTCTTTAAGGTGTTCTCCATTCTTGTTCATTTTACTGAGCCAGTGCCTCTCCACCAGCGATGACGTTTCTTCCTATTTTGTCTCCTCATAGTTCGGCTAGCACTCATATTAACCATTAGAATCTTTATACCAGCATCCGGCTAGGGTTCTGTGCATTACTGATTGTAGTCGTTTGCGGATGTTTATCTGCACCACTGCGTTTGCACTGTTTTTAGTATTTTGAGTAGCCATGTATAACTGTATGTTTTCTTTCCTTCTAATTGAATCCTTTTGTCATGATCCTGCATTATTCGTTAATATTTAAATTACCAGTCTGTACAATGATGCCTAAACTAGTAATGTCATTTACCTAGCTCTTATTACTTGTGGTAGGTGAATTCTAGTGGTCAAGTTTGCAATATGCTCCCCAAGCTAGATAACTGACAGTCAGGAAGTCAAACCAATATCATTCTGTTTGAAGTTATATCACTTAAATTTAGTCGAATACCTATAAACTTGTTCATTTTAAGATAATAATATTTGGTAAGTGCATCATTCTTCTAAGAAATAAGTATTGTATTTATGAAGCAGGCAGCTGTTATCTATAGAAACGATATATATCAAGTTAACAGGAAGACACTTTTGTCCAATAAGAGATAACAGGAAAATTTATACACAATGACGAATTTTCTTACACTTTTGAAAATTCACTCTTAATAAATTTAAATAATTTGCTTATAAACTTGAATCTACTCTCGGTATTTTTTTAAAAATAAAGTTTTTAAGTACTTTAAATCAATTAATCTACTCAACAAGAAACACAGAATGACACTATATATATATAAACTTTAGCAGCACTTACATTTGTTTATATTCATCAATGTAATACTTCTCTAAAATAAAAAGTAACGCGAAACGATGTGATCATTCTTAAAATATAGCCAGGTGAAAAATAGCAGACTGATTCACGGCTACACCCTGCTCTGTATATTCAAAAAGAGATTGCAGAAAGATTCTTTATACATTTGTTCACAACTTTTAATTGTGTATGCAATCTTTTATGAAATGCAAACATTGATATTTTTTCCTTTTATTTAGTTATTTTATCATTTTTTAAGCCCTGTCTTGCATTTGGTCCGGATTTAACTCAATGAAATTAACTCACCGTATTTTGAAGATTTTGTTGTCGATTAACATTTTCTAGTGACTTACATAATTTGATAATTTATGCTGCTTACTATCCTATTCATATCCATGATTTTCTCGAAAAATTTCGATTACTGTACAAATACATCTACATTTATTCACTTGACATTGAGAGAGAGGGAGAGCTGAACTATAGAAAGTATGATTGAAATTTCAACAAGACTTTGAAATAAAAACCAGATGATATGCTTCGGTATCGCATAATGCTTAGTTGTTGTGGGAGCTTTGATGTGAGCAAATCCAGAAGCCACTTTTTTAAAGATCATATTTATATATATGTATATATGGGAAAACAATATACACCTAGTTCCAATTAGGAAATTATACTCTCAATAGCTCTTAATAAGACAGTGAAAAACAACTGTGTACAACTTTAATAGGACACAAATAAGAGATTAGTTCTTTCGACTGTGTATAATCCCAAACAGTAAACATAAAGACGGTGATATCACAGTGTACAATATTATTTATTAACGTTACACTTCTAGAAATTATGAATTACACAGGAGATCAGCTAGAGAAATGAACATTGAAATAGGGATACATGCCATCTAAAAACGTTAAGAATTTAACATCAAAATATACAGTAGATATCAATCTTATGTCAGCAAAAAATTGTGCTCGAAACGTCATCAGTAAATATTACTGTATAACACTGTGAGACTCTATCAAAATAAAATTTACCCATAATGGAATTACAATCTTATGTCATGTTCAGGTAACTACGAGTTCCATAAACATATAGTTCCCCTCTGGGCTTCGCGACAGAGGATATTTTTTTGGTGAGGCAGTTAATTAATCCTATTTATAATGACATTTGTAGATGACACCATCATCGTCTGTGAAAAAGAACTCCACAAAAAAGAGCTTTTGGATGCTTCATTAAGATCAGTTTCGCTTAAATGAGAAACAAATAAACGGCAGAACAGTATGATCCAACTACTAAAGAAGATAACAGATATTCTTTCTGAGGGTTCACATATTAATAATTACTGATGAGTTTTAAAAAAATACACTAAAACTAAGTTAGAAATACTCGTTAAAACAGTAGCTCTTGTGAATCATCAGTTGCCTGAGTCATGATTTAGAACTTGAAAAGTGTGGAACACTATGAAGGAAATATATCTAGCTAAGAAGTATTAAATACGATGAAAAAACAGTTCCAAATTTTGCTGCCAGTCACCACATACTAACTGACACAACGAGAGGCATAATATATCTTAATAAATGAATACTTCACAAAATCCCATCTATTTAAAGCCATGATCACTTTCAGTGATAAAAATCATGGAACTAACCTTCATCTTTTCCTTCATGTTCGCATTTGAAAGAACTAGCCAAGTAGAAGAGAAGTAAGATACTGAACCAGAAAACTGTTTTCATACTGTATCAGGATAAGTCCGTTCTGAAAATACTACGAGGTGCTTTCTATTTTATACATAAACTCAAGTGTAATTAAGTGTACAGCAGTAATCTCATAAGTAATAAACTCATTTATATGACCGTATGAGGTTAACAATAAAAATCTTACAATTAGCTGTTTTTGTAAATTCACATAACTGATTATTCTAAAATAAGTTAGGCCTTACTAGCTTTCTCTGGCTTAGCTTTCACCTTATTCATGTGAAAAATGCACACAGAAACTTATTTATCCAGAAGACAAACTATAAAGATAAAAAAATTTCCGTTTTGATTATACCTTGATTATTTATTTTCACTCAAACTCATTAAAATTAAATCTTTGAGGCGTTCTGTTGGCTTTCCGTGTTAAAGAAAACGATATTAATAAACTGTCATTTAAACAAAGTAGAGAGAAGAGGACCTAGAATTGTTCCCTGAAGAAGGCCACTGTTCACTGATTGCTATAATGATAAGATGCTTTTAACCCTCACTATCTGTCTTTTCGCCTTAAGAAAGTCCTGAATCCATTCTCTAAACTATTTATCAATCCCAAAACTACTTAAACTTACCAGAAGACCTGTTCAAAGGCCTTGCTAAAGTCTTTCAGCTCCAAGTGCCTAAAACGTTTGTCTAGAAACGGTATTCTGCCCTTAAGCTTTGATGATTTACTTCAACGGGATTTTCAGGAATATCACAATACCAACAATGGTGTGTTTTGGTTGTTTCCAATGCATAGTTTGAGAGTTGGTTATGCGTCCGAATGCTTCCTTGTTGTCTATCCCTTACTACTGAATGTCAATTAAATGTATGCTATTGTAACGGCAGATCATTGAGACATTTGGTAACAGAATTACTTATAAGCCATAATGAAATACATTATTGACAAAATATACAAAACCAAGCCTAGTTGATTAACCAGTCTCCAGTCCCATGAAAAACAACATTCTCTTTATCACGACTTCAAAGCACAGAAACAATTGAACTTATCCTCATCTGGAATCACAAATACTCGCCAATTCGAGGGCGGATTACGCTAACTGATGAAACCCTACGGAGACCTAGTCATCCTAGTAGTTTGTTTACGATTAAAGCGAAATTAAGCACGGCAACACGGAGTGTTCACATCATCTTTTTAGGCTAACAGACATGCATGCTTAGATTGCAGAAGAAATGAGATGTGGTGAAGATGCATTAAGCTTCTGTGGAGGCACGTGGATTAGAAGTGGACTCACCAAATTTTTAACTGGAGAGTTAATAATTACCTCCGGTCACACAAACGTCACCAATGAACACACTGAAGAAGTGGGTATCATGACATCATAAACAGCATCAAAGATAATCATATATCGCAGATCAATCCTCCCAGCACAATGACAGAAAGATATAAGTGCAAAGGAAACTTGTGGTTATACTCTGCTACCCAACAGAAATAAAGCACACCCAGAGGAAAAGATAAAGGACATCCACATAACATTACACACACTAATGGATGAAGTTGAAAGAAATTAAAGACGATTGTGACAGACTGAAATTCAAGTTCAGGTCTGAGGCATTCAATCAGGAAGCAACTAAACACAACAGCACCGTAGTCATAAAAATGAAGTATGAGCCAGAAAAAAAGACACATTTCTAATGCAATGATAGCCGAAGAGGAAGACGCATCTGTTCTCAAGAGAGAGAATGGAAGATAAATCACGCCGCCATTATCAAAATCATTGGCTTACTAGGAATCTTCTGTTGGATAAATTCAGATGTAACCATTCCAAGTGTATTTTCGAACTTATTCCATGTAACATCGATGGACGAGTAAGTATTGACTGACCATTTAACAGTTGAAGCATATTTCTCAATAGTTGCGGTGTCCGTGTGCCAAGTGTTGGGGCGAGCCTGGGGTTGAACACCCCGTAGTCACTATTAACTATGCAACAACTGGCGTGGCACCATGCTGCTCTCCATATCAAGCAAAGTATTCAGCCACAAACTCGTGTAAAGGCTTAGAGATGCCCCAGGTGGAACACGGCGTGCATATCAGACTGGATTCAGGAAGAACACATCGTGTGTGGATCAGATTGAAATACTGCAAATCATCATCGAACAGAGCATAGAATGTCAGTTGACACTCTACGCCAACTTCGTCGAATTCAGAAAGAACTTCGACAACGTCGATGGCGAAGTAATTCAGAAAGTGACTAAACAGTACGGAGTGCAGTGCCACAAACAAAAGTATCCTTCAACAGCTATATGATGACGTCGGATGTCAACTATTTCGCGATAGAAAGCTGACCGAACCAGGAGAAAGGTTTACAGGCGAAAACCACGAAGAAGAGACGGAAGAAGACACAGATGATGAAGATACTCGATTAACCAACAACAAACACCAATCACCGTCTACAAGAGAAATCTAAAGGAAGTCGCCTCCTCCACTTACCTGACTGAGCAGAATCGAACATTTCAACTTCAGCACCGACTGCAACATCCAAAACAATCAGCCGTGATCGGGAAAGCACGATGTGTGTTCATCACTCCGAAATCAGTGTGGAAATAAGCAACACCCAGTTACTACAAGGAACAACCTCCGAATTTATAGCACTAATGTCAAGTAAGTCAGTGCTTCTATGTGGTTCAGAAACTTGACGCGCTCATCACCAAAAGCATTCTCAACACGCTACTACGGTTTTTCATCAGCACCTGCCTTTGCTGCCTCCATACTGAGGGTTAAGTGGTCGGCTGGTCGGAAAATACTGTGGTAGGCAGTCAACCATCTCAGAACCCTTTTCTCAACAGATGGAAATGGAGGTAGATTGGACATACACTAAGGAGACACTTGAGTGACATCCAAGTCAGGCTCTCGAGTGGAACCTGAATGGGAAGCAACGAATTGGACGTCCTAGGGTGGCATGGAGGAGATCATGTGAAGCTTGTTGGGAGTCGTGTGGTCAGTTGTAAACCGTGACAGAGAACCAAGTGCAGTGTAGATGCGCTTCTGTGGCCTCATGTTCCTCAAATAATAACTATGATAATAATAATAATAATAATAATAATAACAAGAACAAAGCTGTTCTCTCCCTCACCTAAAAGTTCATTACCCTCAACACCTTCAATAACAGCATCATTGCTCATTATCTTTGATAGTTTAACAGCAACACTAGTTGGACTGACGAACGGTAATTCTTAAGGAAATTTCAAAGTCCAGTCGTGATGACGGCATTCTTCCATTCCCTTGAAGACTTACATCAACTCAGTGACATGCTGGACATCACTGACAACGGTTCGGCTATGGTCTTGCCCAGTACAAACCATATTTCGGGATGGAATTCATCAGGACGAAAGCAGTCACCAGGATTGAGCTTTATAAGCAGTTTTAGGATAGTTTCCTTCCCAATGTGTAGAGTTTGTATTCCTAGATCAGATTCCAGAGAATCTACTCAAGGCACACCACTGTCATCAGAGAATATTTGGCTGAATTAACTTGACAGAGCCCCAGTCTTTGCCAAATTATCGTCAGCCAAATAAATAGGCCTTCCATCATCTAGAAGAGCGAGGACAGCGTCACTCTTCCTACTGCTTCTATTCATACACGCGAAGAGAGTTTTCGGGCAGCCCTGTGTTTTCCTGACTAGCTGTGATTTCTATGCCTTCCTACATTGGCAAGTCAGGGCCTTAAACTGAGTCTCGGTTTGCAGTGTCGTAGTGAGAAACGTTGCAGCTCAGTGGAGATAAAATGGTTCCACAGTCTTTTCCTCCTCCAGAGGACTGTCATCACTTGTCTATTTATCCACCAGGGACGATTCATTGGCTTACTAGGAATCTTCTGTTGGATAAATTCAGATGTAACCATTCCAAGTGTATTTTCGAACTTATTCCATGTAACATCGATGGACGAGTAAGTATTGACTGACCATTTAACAGTTGAAGCATATTTCTCAATAGTTGCGGTGTCCGTGTGCCAAGTGTTGGGGCGAGCCTGGGGTTGAACACCCCGTAGTCACTATTAACTATGCAACAACTGGCGTGGCACCATGCTGCTCTCCATATCAAGCAAAGTATTCAGCCACAAACTCGTGTAAAGGCTTAGAGATGCCCCAGGTGGAACACGGCGTGCATATCAGACTGGATTCAGGAAGAACACATCGTGTGTGGATCAGATTGAAATACTGCAAATCATCATCGAACAGAGCATAGAATGTCAGTTGACACTCTACGCCAACTTCGTCGAATTCAGAAAGAACTTCGACAACGTCGATGGCGAAGTAATTCAGAAAGTGACTAAACAGTACGGAGTGCAGTGCCACAAACAAAAGTATCCTTCAACAGCTATATGATGACGTCGGATGTCAACTATTTCGCGATAGAAAGCTGACCGAACCAGGAGAAAGGTTTACAGGCGAAAACCACGAAGAAGAGACGGAAGAAGACACAGATGATGAAGATACTCGATTAACCAACAACAAACACCAATCACCGTCTACAAGAGAAATCTAAAGGAAGTCGCCTCCTCCACTTACCTGACTGAGCAGAATCGAACATTTCAACTTCAGCACCGACTGCAACATCCAAAACAATCAGCCGTGATCGGGAAAGCACGATGTGTGTTCATCACTCCGAAATCAGTGTGGAAATAAGCAACACCCAGTTACTACAAGGAACAACCTCCGAATTTATAGCACTAATGTCAAGTAAGTCAGTGCTTCTATGTGGTTCAGAAACTTGACGCGCTCATCACCAAAAGCATTCTCAACACGCTACTACGGTTTTTCATCAGCACCTGCCTTTGCTGCCTCCATACTGAGGGTTAAGTGGTCGGCTGGTCGGAAAATACTGTGGTAGGCAGTCAACCATCTCAGAACCCTTTTCTCAACAGATGGAAATGGAGGTAGATTGGACATACACTAAGGAGACACTTGAGTGACATCCAAGTCAGGCTCTCGAGTGGAACCTGAATGGGAAGCAACGAATTGGACGTCCTAGGGTGGCATGGAGGA